TCAGGCATGATCACAGCCGTAACAAGTACAAGTACATGCGACGAAAATTCAGCAGGTCACGGCTCACACACCGACCATTAAGCAATTAGCGCACAAGCGGGTAAATATCCTTGATAGGGGAGTGATTAATTGTCATAAGTATGCAGTAGCATACTAATTATATTCTATAAATACTGCAACTCCCTGTGTATGAATTACCCGTTTCTGCTATTATCTGTGATGCTAGATCCGGGACGGATCAGGAAATGTGAGGCGAATAAAATTATTCATCCAGCGATCACATCTGCTTCTTCTCAATTGGGGTTAGTGGTAAGATCAGGGTTACGTATAAGGCTCGGGTTTGGGTTATGGCACAGAAATAGTTACCGTTCCTAGACTGTCTGTATTACCAAGGACTTCTATTCCCATGCCTAACTAATTATCCAAATTCATCAAAACCACCTCTTCTGATTGTTTTTTTGTCGAATAACGCAAAATTACTTTCATTATTTTGCATTTTCATTTAACCGAGAGTTGTTCCTTACCAACTGGAAATTCTACTGCATGAACTTGGATCGGTTTCCGTTCGATCAAAGATTTATTATAAACCAATGTATATTTCACATACTACACCACCTCCTGTAGGCGACTGCGATGTCGCAGGCATTCTTACAGAAGAGAAAACTCTGGATCTGCGTAAAAGTAAGCGACACCGAACTCACCCGATCGAGCCGTTTCGTCTCCGGCAGGTCAATACTGACGGTCCTTGCAAATTGCATCATCTGACTAATTGTGGCAACAGTGGGGATCGAGGGGTCTGCATCTGGAGTTGCTTTCACCTTCAAATCGTTATTGACGCCAAGTAAATCAGCCGATTCAAGGTCAAAGGGGTGACTGCGATTGGCCAAGTCGAGAATATTACGCGCTTTTGTACGCCACTTGGCGACGTAATCCGCAAAGCGCTCCAGGGGCCTCGCCTCCGGAATCACGCAGGGTAGGTTAGAAACCATCGAGACGAAGCGGGCGAATTCAGACAGACTAAGCTGTTAACGACAGGAGGAAAATGAGTGAGGAATCTAAATTGCATGTGTGTAGAAGAGAACAAATAGACATGACTTTCATGAGATTGGCGGCCCTTCGAGGGGCTGAGTAGATAAGAAGCAACCAGGGCATCCATGGGTGTGAGGCACACAGGGGTGTGTCGTGGAGATAAGCCAACATTTCCTGAACAGCTGAAAAGACTTATAATCCAAATTCAAAATGAAAGAAATATGCAAGTGAAGAGCACGACTGCACAGGGCATTATCGGCTTATACAAAGTCTTCAGCCGGTCATATCTACCCTCAGGAGGAACAGAGTAAAGATATGAAACCACGCTCCGGATGACTGTTGTGTGTTGCTCTCTGTGACCCGAATCACAGAATCACGTCCTGCCGATTGATGTCGTGAATATTTAAAGCCAGATGATCGTCTCATTCGCGGATCCATG